ATGGGAAGCTTTTCTATAGGAACATACACAGGCTGCTTGGCTTAGGACATGGAGCCCTGGCAGAAAAGGGTGCCTCCTGGGTCAAGAGACCCCCTTCTCGCGGACTTTGCAACTCTCAGCTTCTTTCCCACTACAGAGTAATTTGCTGCAGTCATGCACTTTAATGGAAATCTGATTTAAGGTTTCACTCTGGGCCAATTTCTATAATTAACTACTGTAATCTGCTAGCTCAAACTGAGAATGAAATTAAGACAGTTTAAAAATGAAAGCCTTGTGACATCATTATTATTATTTAGCATTTATAAAGCATGTCACATTTTCAATGGTGCTTTACATATTCATTCATTTTACAACCACAAGCTGCTGTTCTACGATAATAGCAAAAGCAGCTTTCAACTTTTTACTGTCTGTTTTTTGGCACAAAGAATTACACCAGCACCAACAATGATGACGATGACGACAACAGTAAGAACAAACCTCTCCCTCCTATTCTGTAGATCTCTATAAATATTATAGTGTTCCTAGCAGATTCTCAAGTGCTTAGTAGCACCGAGGCGTTTCCAAGTTTTGGGTGAGAATCCTCAGAGTTGCTATTTACTGTTGCACAAAGTAAAGATCATGTGAGAAGGCAGTGAAGGCGCCAGACAGAGCCCAGATCCCCAGGTCCCAGACAGCTGCCCCCACAATAGAGTTCAAGACAACTGCTGCCAGCTGTGCAGGTGGTTGGGCCATGCAAACATAAGGTCTCAAACGTCTGTGTGTTTTTGGAGTTGCAAAAACACAGGCTGGCCACAGATTATAGTCCCTAATTAAAAGAATGAACTTAAAAGCAGAAAAAGCTGCAGTCATTGCTATTTGTTAAGCTCCTTTCAACACACACACACACACATACACACACACACACAAAAAAAAACAACAATAAGCTGTAGCTGATTGACACCCGGGCTTCTCACCAGATGAACTCCTACATGAGTGTTTTTGAAATGTTCAAGAAGTCCTACCACTATTGCTCCAATAGAACATTCCTGGAATGCAGAGTGGTAATAACAGAATGTAAGTGGATATGTGATAGTGGAGAGCTGCAAGGGAGTTGTGATCTTAACTACCAATGATATTTTATATTTCTGGGAAGTCCATAATGAAGAATTAATATATTAATGTTGACAAACAGAACTCCTTTATTTACTACGAGATGACAGGCTCATTATGTTACATGACTGACATATGAGTTTCACACAAAGCAGGTATAATTGTGATCTTCAATTTATAGATAAGGAAACCAAGAGTAGTGAAAATCATTAGGGCTACAGCACCCATGACTAACAAACATTCTTTATTGCTAGCAACACTATGGGGTCCTGAGACATGCAAGGTTTAATATCTTATTTTATTGTTACACCAGTTCAACTATCAACATGGGAGGTACATAACACTCACCGCATTTTACAGATGAAAAAAGCTGAGACTCAAAGAGGTAAACACCAGGTGAAAGATTGTATGAACAGTATGTTGAGCTGAAAACCACATTTCTTTTTCTTTAGTAGTACCAGGAGTCCCTTTTACTAAATGCCAATGTTGCTACTGCTCAACAGAAAACAAGCTATCTATTTAAACAGACATTTTGAGGGTCTGCTCTAAGCTAGATTGGTGGGAAGATAATTCAAATCAGGCAAAACTGGTCTTTATCTGTATCTGAAATTGCAAACTCTGCTAGGTTATGGAGAGAAGAAGCACAGACACCATGAGAACTGGAGTGTAAGACATTCAAGTGGACAGGGCCCTCAGACATATAAGCAAGGGCTACAGACAGATGAGGAAGGTGATCCAGAATGGGAGAAGAGGACCAGAAGAGGGTGCATCTGGGCAAGGCTGAGGGACTGGAAGAACTGTGCCTCTGAGGAAGCGAAGAGAACCTGAACCAGGAGTTGGGGAGTGAGAAACGAGAGGCTGCCCCCACCCCCAGCACCAAGCCATGAAGGCTCCACGGGTTCACTGTGAATTGAGCATTGAGAAACCTGTGTATTTCAGGTAGCTATGTAGTCCTCAGTGGGATCGGGTAGGGAATACACATGTATCCAGCATCCACAACACATTGATTTAAAATCACAAGACAAGCTGTATTACTTCCATTTATGGTGAAATGGAGGCTCAGGGAGGAATAAAGTTCTGTTCACAGTTGTCACAATTCATGCCAGTGTATCTCTTTCCACACACATGCCACATGCTGAGACGTCTGCAAGAGCTGGCAATTTTGGGGCGGCTAGCAACGTGCAGCAAGAGTTAGTCACTTTTTATTAAGGATGAGTCAGTAAACCTTCTGGGCTCAGGGAGTCAGTTTCTTTTACAACACAGCTTGGTCATTGCAACAACAGTTAGGGATACTACATAAATGAAAGCGATTGGGCTCCAATAAACTTAACAAAAACTAGCAGGGGGCTGGTCTGGCATGTAAGTTGACTAGCTCCTGATGTGGACATGGTTTGCTTCATTTAGTTCTCCTCAAAGCTACTGCAAAGGCCATTACCCCCTCTTCTTTGAATTCTCTGCGATGATTTCTGACAGCATTCCTCAGATTTTTAAGGTGTGTGCATTGCATTATTTTCTGGCCATCACTGGCAACC